TGGACAAGGGGAGGAGGGGTTAAAGAACACTATGGGACAGGGTAGGAGGGGTTAACAATCACTATGGGACAGGGGAGGAGGGGTTAACAATCACTATGGGACAGGGGAGGAGGGGTTAACAATCACTGTGGGACAGAGGAAAGGGGGGTTAAAGATCATTATGGGACAGGGGAGAAAAAAAAATATTCTGAACATACTGTCCCATAGTAAGAAACACTATGGAACAGTTTGTTCAGAATAATTTTTTTACTGGGTTTCCTCCTCTAAAACTGCGTCTTATGGTGAGGTGCGTCTTATGGAGCAAAAAATATGGTATATTCTATAGCCATATTTTACTAATGATTTTTTTAAAATTTTTATAAATTTTCTTGTGGTCAATAACACTGGTTAGGCACTATCTGTAACTTGTTTTTTACATTGGCCCCTACGGGTTTGAGGGGAACCCCTATCCTCCTATTTTTTTATTATCTCTGCTCACTTACTTAGCGCTTATCTATTTTTTCTTTTTATTTCTGAGTTTGTGGAGGTAGTATGGTCTCCTCTGTACCAGCAATGGCATAATTCATATCTGAAGGTTAATTTACCTTTATTATTTCCATAATAATTTTTAAAATATTACCACAGATAATTTTAGCAAATAGTGTGGATTCCCTGGGTCAGTCAAATAGCTCAAGGACCTATAGGACAAGTGTCCTCTGGAAATGATTAGTAAATTGATGGTCTTGTAATTGAGCCACAAGCTACACATTCCGTTAACCATGAAGAAACCACTGGACCATCATTCCAGCATCAGCTGGCAGGGCCTCCAGGACCACAGCCTGCACATGGCAAGGACCTGCCACATAAATCACATATCACCTCCTAAAATACCAGATACTTGGAGAAAAAAAGGGTCTCCTTGTGCAAGCAGTGCCTCCACACTGGCCAGTTTACTGAGAACTGGCAGAGGTCTTCTCAAAGGGCTGGGAGTTAATGCACAGAGTCTGAGAAAAGATGTGCTGGAAGGGAACTTATCCTTTCAACAGCAGAAAATGGTTCGGGCTCTGGGCTTATAGCCCACACAAAGCAACTAGTAGGAAGCACAGCACAGATCTCTAGAAGACAGAACAGACTTCCAACAAATTTGAACGGTGCAGTATACACATCAAGGATCTCAATCATCTTCCTTTTACAAAGGAAATAAATGGCAAACTGGTACATCATGTCGGAGTCAGAAAAGTTATGCTGCCTGGGCATAAGGTGTCCCCATATAAGCGACTAGGTACCTCCCAATTCTGGATGTGCAAGTCCACCAGCTCACTGCCCTTAAAGATCTGACTATAGTGCTCTGTACCAGGTTCATTGAGTATGCTTGGAGTCTTCTTGGAAATTCATCCTCCTGTACATGTACTCTGCTCTGTGGAGAAATTTAATTTGTTGCTCCCATAATAAAGTGCCATTGTCATCACAAAATCTATACAGTACATGTACAGACGGAAAGGCTGAAAGTTTATCACGAACATGATGGTTGGACATCATATTAAAAACATTTCTTCATATTTCTCACAACTTCTTTTTCCAGAAGCCCGTTGACAACCTCATTGGCTATAAAAGTATTTGGGTATATGCTGTTATCAATACGCTGGTCTTTAATTATCTTACCCAGGTGTAAGTGATGTCTGCAAGTTTGAGAACTTCCCCCTGGCATAGACATACTTCGCATTGCTATTCAAACTGCTACTGAATAGCAGTGACATGTTCCCACCCTTCATCACTGGTGCTAAGCATGAATCCCTACTTGAAGTATGAGTGGGGCCTTAGTTGAGCCTGCAGGACGTAAAGCAATCCTCATGCATGGACCAGCTAAGCCAATTGCCCTTTGTTAATCTCAGAGAGCAAAAGCCTCTCCGAGCATCCAAGCTAAAGTATTAATGTAAATCTGATGTAATAAGCACGCTTGATTGTTATGTGAACCGCAAGCCTATATGGATTAGCTGCAACCTCATCTAAAATAGTATAAATTCTTACATGAAAGATGATACTAGTCCACCGTTTGTCCAATCCATCTCAGATGCTAAAGTACAGAATTGGATGGAATAATCCACTATGGACCCCTGCTTGATTCTCATCCATACTTTAGCAACATTCTTTACCCTACCTACTGTAAATTGCAGTAATATGATAAAAGGTTTATGAATTACCTTAAATTAACTTTATAAAGAGTGTTTAGTCTGTTATGCTAACAGAAAAAGCTATACTTTAACATGTATAACTACTTCTTTTCAAACAATTTTTAATACATTTTTTTGCAAGTTTTACAGCAAATTATAAGAACAGTGTAATAATAAAAAAAAGGGCGAATAAGGAGGGGGGAAGGGAGGGAGAATATGGAAGGAGGAAGGGGGAGGTCCATCCATTGATACAATCAATACAGTAATATATAAGGCATATAAATGATAAAATATTGTACAGTTATAAAGCAAGTTTTTACTTCCCGTGGTATTTTAATGTAACAAAGATGTTTGAATTATTTCTATGTGACAATTTGTGAGATTTGTTATCTAGAGTCAATTTTAGCACTTCCTTAATTGATTTTGTAAGTTTTGTTTTCCAAAATCTAGGTAAGTACGAGGTGGCAGCTATCAGGATGTGGCCTATTATTATTTTATTAATTCTATTGACGGACTCAGGGAATCTTTTAAATAAAGCTAATTCTGACGTTAAAATGGTAATACTGCTGTCTACTTTTGCAATCAGTTGGTATATCTTTCTCCAATAATTTGTAATTTTTGGGCAGTACCACCACACATGGGCCATGTTGCCCAATCCTCCGCAGTCTCTCCAGCATCAATCGGAATACCTGTTATTCATATTATGTAGTCTAGACGGAGCCAGGTACCAACGGTATAAAATTTAAAAATGATTTTCAAAATGATCAGAACAAAAAGAAATTCCTTTTAGTGCTGAAAAAAATCCGAAACCATTCTGCTAATTCGTTTTGGGTACCCAGCTCCGCCTCCCAAGACAGCATGTGTTTAAGTTTAACATTAGTTTTGTCATTGTGCATTAAATAGCATAATGATATCGTACCTCTCCTATCTGGGTCATGTAAAAACAGTTTTTCCAGTGGTGAAATTTCCAATGTTTTATAGTTTTTGTCTGTATCTGTTATATCGTATAATTGTTTCAATTTATCAATCACACTCATACATTCATCTTTACCTTCATCCCTTAATTTATGCTTGAATTGTAATTTTTCAAACGATAAAATAGAATTGCCGTGGAAAAAAATCATCTATATTAGTTAAATGGTTAGTCTTCAATAAATCCGGATTTAAAGAGGGCAGATAATGCTTCATTAATTCTATCGGCATAGCCCTATACACTTTTGCTGAGTGACATTTATTTTTGTGCACTATATCCCAAGCTTTAAGAGTGGTTTTGGTGGTAAGGAATAATTTAGTAACTCCACGCCACAAGAGGTGTTAAAAAATCCAACAATCGTAACAGAAATTGAATTTGTTGAGACAATGTTAACCTTGCTAGAACATTTGAGTCATGTCCTTTGTAAATCACATTACTAATGTGTATCATATAAAACCAATATAATTTTGCGGGAGAATAGATGGACCTAAAAAAATCAATAAAGAACAGGGGTAATAAAACTTGGGAAAGAACCCCTATCAGGGGTAAATTGTGAACTTTAATGAAAAAAAAGGGCCATGAGGGAGAATAAAAAAAAAAATCTCCATCTCAGGGTATTATGCCCAGGTTCGGGGGAGGAAAGATTATCTGGGACAAGAGGACCGATGTAAGCTTTGAGAAAAAACAAGAATACAACAATCTGATAAAGAAAAATAATCAAAAGAGAAGTCCTTTCAGTCCTGGGTTCTCTACTGAGCTAAATCATATTTAGGGCAGGTCAAACAGAAAGAAAAATTATCTTATGCAATTACAGAATAAGGTCTGAAAGAAAACTATATCAAAAACATCAAAAAAGAATTCTTGCAGACTGCCGTGGAACTGAGAAAATCCACAAGATAGATCGCTATCGTCTTAACATATCCCAGAGTTAAGAGAAAAAAAAAAATCAATAGCATTATGCAGAAACAAGGTTGTCATAAAGTCATGCAACTAATTAAGAATAGAATAAAAATACAAAAATTGAGAAATTAGAAATAGGAAAACAAATACTTGAACAGTAGAAGTACATCCAATACGTTATGAAAAGAAAATCTGACCACTTGTAAACCAGGTCCTATATCAATTTCGTTGGAGCCATCAATCAAATCTCGTTGGAGTTTATAAACGCAACAAAAAAAAAGAAAAGAAAACATGAGTGGGCTCAAGTGTTGTCTGCCTTGCTTCTCTTGTGAGCATGGTGTGGGGTTGATGGTGAATGAGTACGAGACTGAGTCTGTCGTCTATTAGTAGTGTTAACGAATTCCATCCCTTCTTCAGGAGTGTTATCGTGAAATTTTGACCGTCCATATTAAAAAGCACTTTTACAGGGAATCCCCATCTGTAGCGTATCCCTCTTTGTCTCAGTTCGGCCGTGAGGTGCTGGAATTCCCTGCGGCGCTTCATTGTGTATGCCAAGAAATCTTGAAAGATCTTAATATTCTTGTATTCCTCGGGGAGACCTGATGTGCGCATGGTACCTAAAAGTTCTTCTTTTATGTGAAGAAAGTATAGTCTTGCTATGGTATCCTTTGGTGCTGCTGCAGTTGCCTTGTTAGATTTAGGTAGTCTATGGATGCGGTCTACTAGTAAATCCAAATTAGTACCCTCTGGTAAAATAGTTTTGACCATTGTTTGGAAATATTTTAATAAGTCCGAAGTTTCTACATTGTCAGGGATCCCCCTGATTCTCACATTGTTGCGCCTGCTCCTGATTAACCTGTTTTTGAAACTCCTTTACAGTATTCACCAGGTCTAAATGAGAAGATTCTTGAACAGAAATTCTATGTTCAACTTCCTCCGTGCATTGACCAATGTTCTCCAGAATTCCATACATATTATCAAAATCGTCGTGGCCGTGCTCGCATATGTGCGAGTATGTGAGAGGGAGTGGGAAGAGGATTGGGGTTTACCCACTGCTGCCAACGAAGTATTATGCGGTGAAATAAGCCGCGGTGCCGCAGATTGAGAGGGGGAGTGGGCTTGCAGGCCTTTACACCCCCCACTGCAGATTTTTCGATCCTCTTGGTTGCAGGAACGTTTTTTCCAATATTATTTTGCTTCTGCATGATGTACAATTCTTTTTTGTTATGTTGCAGAGGTATTAGGAGACTCTGTTTAGGAGAGATATGATTCATACCCTTCCAAGTCCTGAGGGTATGACATACCGGGGATACAGCAGCCATACGGTCTAAAGTCTCTGTATGTCCCTGCCAGACGGCTGGATGCATGTGCATGTTGAGTCCCTCCCAGTCCAGTGATGGCCACTGCTGGTGTGGACATGGTTGGTGCCAGTTGTGAATACGTTGCAGTGTAGCTCCTGGTGGTATTTCTTGAAGTCCAGTAGGGCCTGTCCTCCCCACTGCCTGGGTAGGCAAAGTAGTACATGTCAGGTGCGTGATCTTTTGCCTCTCCATACATAGCGGATACCCACTGTCTTCAACAAAGAGAAGAATGCTCTTGGTAAGGAGAGTGGTACTGTCTAAAAAAGGTATAGCAACCGTGGCAGGACATTCATCTTGAGGACTGCTATGTGTCCGTTATTAAGACGGACCGCAATGAGGAAGGGCTCGAGAGATATAACGAATAACAGAGGTGAGAGAGAAAAGCCTTGTCGTGTGCCGTTAAAGATCTGGAAACTGTTTGTGAATGCCCCGTTGAAACATACCTTAGCATTGGGGTGGGTATATAGGGCAACAATCCAATTCCTCAAGTTGTTACCAAATCCCATATTTTCCAGGGTTGCAAACATGAATGTCCAATTTATGTGGTTGAACGCTTTCTCTGCGTCCGACGATAAGAGGAGTAGGCATCTGGAACTATGGCGTGCAAATAGGCAGATGGTGCTATCCCTGGCCTCCCTTCCTGGGACAGAGCCCATTTGGTCCGGATAAATAAGGTCAGACACGTTTGCATCATTGTGCACGTTTAAGAGCGAGATTGGTCGATAGCTACAGCATGTTTCAGGGTCTTTATCTGGTTTCAGTAGAACAGTAATAGTGGCAGCTAATGATTCATTGTGGAAGGCTTCCCCATCTGATAACTTATTTATTGCTTTTTTTAGCTTAGGTATCAGGAGGTTCTAGAACGCTTTATAGTATCTTAGAGCGAATCCATCCGGACCTGGTAGCCTCTCTGTTTTTGATTGCGAACAACAATTCCTCTCCGCCTAAAGGTTAATCCAACGATTCTGCTATCTTGGGGGGTATCATATTTGGTTTTTGCTCGCTAAAGTATTTTTGAATATTGGTGATACGTTCGATCTCCATACTATGGGGTTGGCTTTTAGTGGTTCGATATAGCGTAGAGTAAAAGTCTTGGAACTCTCTCGCTATGTCAGGAGGGAAAGGGGATACTTCCCATGAGGACAGTTTGAGCTTGTGTATCTGCGTGCATTGCCTCGCTCCCCTAAGCATACAGGCTAAGTATTTACCTCCTTTATTAGCGTGTGTGTAAAAGCATCTTTTAGATCTCTGAATACCCCTAAAATGTTGGTGCAGCAGAAGTTCCGTTTGCTGTTGTCTAGCCTTAAATAATAACTCCAAGCTGGACCATTTATGTTGTAGCTAAAGATTGGATATCTGAGTGGTAAGCTCCAAGATATGCCCTGAAGCGTCTTTCTTTTTCTTTGTCGCGAGGCCTATCAGGCAGCCCCGAATGATGCTCTTGTGTGCTTCCCACAGCGTGAGAGGTAATATGTCATCTACATCAATCTCATCAAAATAGAGGGTTAATGCCTTCTCCACCTGTTCTTTGAGAACTTGGTCTAGCAGTAGAGATTCATTGAGGAGCCACATCAATTCCGCAGGTTTGGCTTGCGTAGATTCAACGCTAATTAGCACCGACCAAATTGTGGTGCCTATTGTCGCTTTAAGTATTTGGGTGAGATCTTCCTGCTGGAGGAAGAGGTAATCTATACGTGAGTGACGGTCATGCATGGCTGAATAGTGTGTATAATCCATGTCAGTGGGGTGACATGCTCTCCAGCAATCCAGCTGTCTCAGATCCCTAAGTGCAAGACATATGGTTAGAACATGTTTCTGAGGTATGCAACTATGGCCCAAGGAAGAATCTAGAGGGACATTCAAGTCCCCCCCTAAGATCAGAAAGCCTTCTGTGAAATGTTTCAGTTTAGTCAGCGTCCTGCTCAAGAATGGCGATTGGCCATGGTTGGGAGTGTATATAACTGCTAGTGTGTAGATTTCATCAGCAACCTTCCCTTTGACAAAGAGATACCTGCCCTCTGGATCCCTACAGCTATCCAGCTCCTGGAATTGCAGATTGGACTCCAGCAAAATTGCAACCCTGCCTTTCTTGCAGTGGAGTTATTGCTAAAGTAGTTGATTTGATAGAATCTATTTCGTAATGTCGGTGCTGCCCCCCCGAAAGTGGGTGTCCTGCAACAAGGCTATGGAGATACATTGCATTCAGAGTTCCTGCATTGCTTTATTCTGCGCTCTTGGGGGCGTTAAACCCCTTGCAGTTAAGAGAGAGAACTGAAAATGACGCTGCACAGTAAGCCATGGAGAGCGGTGAATGGGTAATAGGATAATAAGGAATTGAGGGAAGAAATAAAAAGGAGGGAGGGTATAAAAAAAGGTAGAATAGAGAGAGAAGAGGAATTGTTAAGAAAAGTAAAGAGTTGGGGGTAAAAATGAACCCCCTATGAACTATGATTGCCCAATATTATCTCCTCAACAACCGGGGGATGCTTGTGTGGCAGTGGAGGCCATTGACCCAACCCCCGGTTTGACAGTCCGGAGAAATGGGAAGTCAACACCACACTACCCGTAAACTACATACGAGTATATCTGGGGTACATGACTCGGCTCCCTCCCCATCGAGTTTCTGTCAGTCTCATAGCTCCTACATAGGCCCTGCATATGAAACCAATTTCTCAGCAACTAGCAGATAAGGACAGCTCGTCCCCTTTGTAATAAGTGAGTAGATAAATGTAAGCTTTGAATAAAGTAATATGAACCGTAATCCCCCCACCTCAGACAGGTACAATAGAACACAGTGTTGATACATTGCGGAGACTTTGAGAATAAACTGTATAGTGCACCTGAAGTAGGTAGATAACGCAAATACAACAGGTGCAGCACACCAAATATGTTATAGGGACAATATAACACTGTCATTTCCAAATAAGGATTCAATCAATAACAGTGCATATAACAATGACGTTCGATCTATAAATGATCGTATTCAGGTTCCGGGCCCTCTTCCCTCCTCCCTACCTTCAGCAGTATGTCCCCGTTTTTCCTTTCCTCTCTTCCCTGCACTTCTTATTAGTTTACTCTTTTCTTTTCCTTTTTTTTGTGGTCCCCCCCCCTTACTGGAAGTTATAGCTTTACCATGGTTTCCTTCACTTCCCCAATACCTCTCTTACTTTAGCATCGCCCCCATTACCTCCTTTTTCCCCACCTACCATCCAAGCTCACCCTTTGTCACAGTATCTCCTTCCTCTCCTCTCCCATGCCCTCAATAACAATATAACACCTTGCCCTTGTCATAATCCCTTGGGTCCTTCCCCTATGTTTTGTGCGAGTCTTGTCCCCTGGTGCCTTTTTTCCAGCTAGGGCTTCCCTTCCCCTACCACCTCTTACTCTGTGAGAGCTTGTGAGTGTCAGGATCTTTCCTGAGTTGGGAGTCTGTAGCGCAGATTGGTTGCTCACCCTTGCAAATAGACATAGTCCAAAGTGACCAGATAATAAACCACCTGAACTGTGAAACTGACACAAACAGCAGGATAGCCAAGGGATAGCCGAAGTCAAGGGATGCCAGAGGTCAGAGAAAACGATGTCAGAAGCCGGGGTCAATAAAGAGTGGAACACAGGAACATAACACACAACAGGATCAAAGACTTGATAAAGTTCACAAGGTGAGTCTATGTTTATATATCCTGCTGATCTCTGATCAGGGCCAGGTGAAGCACAGTAATTGTCAATGTCCAGCCACCTGTGCTGCACTGTGCAAACCAGGATGATCAGGACTGGAAAAGCTCAAAACAAGCAAAACTGCTATGACTCAAAGGTTTTTGCTCGCTAAAGTATTTTTGAATATTGGTGATACGTTCGATCTCCATACTATGGGGTTGGCTTTTAGTGGTTCGATATAGCGTAGAGTAAAAGTCTTGGAACTCTCTCGCTATGTCACGAGGGAAAGGGGATACTTCCCATGAGGACAGTTTGAACTTGTGTATCTGCGTGCATTGCCTCGCTCTCCTAAGCATACAGGCTAAGTATTTACCTCCTTTATTAGCGTGTGTGTAAAAGCATCTTTTAGATCTCTGAATACCCCTAAAATGTTGGTGCAGCAGAAGTTCCGTTAGCTGTTGTCTAGCCTTAAATAATAACTCCAAGCTGGACCATTTATGTTGTAGCTAAAGATTGGATATCTGAGTGGTAAGCTCCGAGATATGTCCTGAAGCGTCTTTCTTTTTCTTTGTCGCGTGGCCTATCAGGCAGCCCCGAATGATGCTCTTGTGTGCTTCCCACAGCGTGAGAGGTAATATGTCATCTACATCAATCTCATCAAAATAGAGGGTTAATGCCTTCTCCACCTGTTCTTTGAGAACTTGGTCTAGCAGTAGAGATTCATTGAGGAGCCACATCAATTCCGCAGGTTTGGCTAGCGGAGATTCAACGCTAATTAGCACCGACCAAATTGTGGTGCCTATTGTCGCTTTAAGTATTTGGGTGAGATCTTCCTGCTGGAGGAAGAGGTAATCTGTACGTGAGTGACGGTCATGCATGCCTGAATAGTGTGTATAATCCATGTCAGTGGGGTGACATGCTCTCCAGCAATCCAGCTGTCTCAGATCCCTAAGTGCAAGACATATGGTTAGAACATGTTTCTGAGGTATGCAACTATGGCCCAAGGAAGAATCCAGGATGGGATCTAGAGGGACATTCAAGTCCCCCCCTAAGATCAGAAAGCCTTCTGTGAAATGTTTCAGTTTAGTCAGCGTCCTGCTCAAGAATGGCGATTGGCCATGGTTGGGAGTGTATATAACTGCTAGTGTGTAGATTTCGTCAGTAACCTTCCCTTTGACAAAGAGATACCTGCCCTCTGGATCCCTACAGCTATCCAGCTCCTGGAATTGCAGATTGGACTCCAGCAAAATTGCAACCCTGCCTTTCTTGCAGTGGAGTTATTGCTAAAGTAGTTGATTTGATAGAATCTATTTCGTAATGTCGGTGCTGCCCCTCGAAAGTGGGTGTCCTGCAACAAGGCTATGGAGATACATTGCATTCAGAGTTCCTGCATTGCTTTATTGTGCGCTCTTGGGGGCGTTAAACCCCTTGCAGTTAAGAGAGAGAACTGAAAATGACGCTGCACAGTAAGCCATGGAGAGCGGTGAATGGGTAATAGGATAATAAGGAATTGAGGGAAGAAAAAAAAAGGAGGGAGGGTATAAAAAAAGGTAGAATAGAGAGAGAAGAGGAATTGTTAAGAAAAGTAAAGAGTTGGGGGTAAAAATGAACCCCCTATGAACTATGATTGCCCAATATTATCTCCTCAACAACCGGGGGATACTTGTGTGGCAGTGGAGGCCATTGACCCAACTCCCGGTTTGACAGTCCGGAGAAATGGGAAATCAACACCACACTACCCGTAAACTACATACAAGTATATCTGGGGTACATGACTCGGCTTCCTCCCCATCGAGTTTCTGTCAGTCTCGTAGCTCCTACATAGGCCCTGCATATGAAACCAATTACTCAGCAACTAGCAGATAAGGACAGCTTGTCCCCTTTGTAATAAGTGAGTAGATAAATGTAAGCTTTGAATAAAGTAATATGAATTTAAGTATCCCGGGAAGCCAGGAGTGCCGGCGACTGGTAATACTGAGGACTCTTTGAAGCCTATCTGAGAGACTGGTGAGGCAAAGGGATTTTATGATATGCCGTTTTAATTTTAAATTGGAATAAAGATTGTTCCATTGGATCTTGGCTGTGCGCTGTTTTTATGCAGCGAAAGCTGGATTTATACAAAAGTGCATATAACCTAAGCAGTCTCTTACCTGCTCGGCATTTGTGAGTGCTATATACTTATCTGGTTAATTTTACGTTTGTTGTATTTACAGTGTTACACTATATGTTTTTATGGGGGTTTTTTTTATGTTGAACTATGACTTCATTTTGGAAAGATGTTCAATTTTAAATTGAGGATTGGTTTTATCCCACCAACATTCTTCTTGCCTTAGCAAGGGTTTGGTTGTTCCCCCTATTCTATACTTGTTTTTTGGCTTCCTGTACCTAACAGTGGTTCATAATAATAATAACAAAGTATTTAACCGCTTAAGGACGGAGCCAAATGTACACGTTGTGAACAAAACAAAATGTAAACAAAACCTGGCATTTGCGCTAGATGTCTGTCCAACCGTAATTCACCTCTTTCATAGTAAATGCACCCACCCTTATTATATATCATTTTATTCAGGGGAAACAGGGCTTTCATTTAATATCAAATATTTAGCTATGAAACATAATTTAATATGAAAAAAATGGGAGAAAATAAAATTTTTAAAAAAAATTTAGTTCTACATGACATTTTAACGGTCAATGTCATAATACTGTTTGCTTTTACTGCAATAAAATACACATATTTGTATTCAGTAAAGTCTCACGTGTAAGACAGTACCCCCTATGTACAGGTTTTATGGCGTTTTGGGAAGTTACAGGGTCAAATATAGCACGTTACATTTGAAATTGAAATTAGCCAGATTGGTTACGTTGCCTTTGAGACTGTATAGTAGCCCAGGAATGAAATTTACACCCATAATGGCATACCATTTGCAATAGTAGACAACCCAAGGTATTGCAAATGAGGTATGTCCAGTCTTTTTTAGTAGCCATTTGGTCACAAACACTGGCCAAAGTTAGCGTTAGTATTTGTTTGTGTGTGAAAAATGCAAAAAGCGCCAATTTTGGCCAGTGTTTGTGACTAAGTGGCTACTAAAAAAGACTGGACATACCCCGTTTGCAATACCTTGGGTTGTCTACTATTGCAAATGGTATGCCATCATAGGGGTAATTTTCATTCTTGGGCTACCATAGGGTCTCAAAGGCACCGTAACCAATCTGGCGAATTTTAATGTGAAAAAATGAAACGCAAGCCTTATATTTGACGCTGTAACTTTTGAAAACACCATAAAACCTGTACATGAGGGGTACTGTTGTACTCAGGAGACTTAGCTGAACACAAATATTTGTGTTTCAAAACAGTAAAAAGTATCGCAGCAATAATATCGTCCGTGTAAGTGCTGTTTGTGCGTGAAAAATGCAAAAACTTCACTTTTACTGGCGATATCATCGTTGTAATACATTTTACTGTTTTGAAACACTAATATTTGTGTTCAGCGAAGTCTCCCGAGTAGAACAGTACCCCCCATGTACAGGTTTTATGGTGTCTCGGAAAGTTATAGGGTTAAATATAGTGCTAGCAAATTAAATTCCTTTTACTTTCGGCATGGGTTGTCAGGCAGGTCCCGCTAATTGTAATTAATTAAGATACCTAATTATGTAAAAATATTACATAAATATATATGTAGAATTAATATATGTATATATATACGTATGTGTATATATATGTATATATCTATATAATTTTTTTTAAATATTTGTATTTATATATAGGTATATATATAGTGATATATACGTATATATTTATGTATATAGATATATATATTATTTCGTTCTACGTGTATTTTGATATATATATATATATATATATATATTAATTTCACAATACAGTTAGAATGAAATAACACACATCTATATATTTTTTAATTATTTTTTTTTAATTATTTTTTAAATTTTATTTTTTTACGTATTTACATTTTTATTTTTTTTATATTATAATGGAAAATTTATTCATACTTACCGTAATTTTCTTTTCCTGGTCATATGCCATGGCAGCACAACATTGGGTAGCTCCTCCCTATCCCCATTGGACAGGAATAATTATTAAAAAAAAGGGGGGTTAGGATCAGCGCTTGGTGCTATACAGGGCGGTAAGTGAAGCTGCAACCTATGGGTATGAGGTTCCCTCCAACGTCCTCAAGAAAGAAATGGCAAAAAACACAATGATAGGTCGCGCTAAAAAAGTGAAAGGATAAATATAAATATAAATAAAATAGTAAATGATAGAAAAATTATAAAAATATATATATGTAGATTTACTCACATATAAAAAAGGCAAATAGAGAATAAAAGATAAAAATGTACATAAAAGTCCCAATATATGGTAAAATACTTGTAAGTTCCAATGTATGGTAAGATTCTAGTAAGTTCCAATAGAATAATGCAGGCTTGATGATGAAATCAATGGGAAGTTTTAGATCTTCTATAGCTGGGGGAATCTTGACTCAATGTCGAACATATAAGTAGAAGAAAAAGAGAACTCCAATAGTGTAATTCTGTGATGAAATTGATAAAATAAGAAGTAAGGGAGGTATTTCACTCACCTATCCAAGAGCGTGTACTCGCTCTAGTGTAGTTGGCATTCAGTGGCGTTGACCCCCCACTGTCGGGATATAGGTGTGAATGATTCCTCGGTATGAAAAGAGAGGTAGAAACCAAATATAGTGCTCACTGTATAATAACAAGTAAGTCAGAGAAGTAAAAAGGCGTACTTACATTTATCTGAGCAGGGTATACTGCTCAGTTTAATGGCGTAGGTGGTACAATCCCCACTTAGGATTCTTTGAACGATGGTCTGCTCCAAAGTAACGTGTAACCAGGTTAAAAAATAAATAAAAATAAAATAAAAGGTATATGGCAAATAAATAGTAAAAAGGCCAATATTCCTTTATTAATACAGTAAAAATATATAGCAATAGCCAAAATACAGTAAAAATATATAGCAATAGCCAAAACGCGTTTCGCCACACAGGGCTTTATCAATTGGCAATAATGGGTATTAACCTGGTACATAGAAGTTTATATAAACTTAGGAGATACATGGTTATTTGAATTTTGGCGCCAAAATGACGTCATCATTACAGTGAGAATATAATAAAAATATTAAAAAACATAAATATAATAAGAACATGGATATATGATTAAAAGTACAACTCAAAACTTTATAAATTTTTCAAAAACGAGTGTTTATAGTAGTACTTGAAAATAGAATAGATTGTCATGTGATCGCGAGCTGCCGCGATCACATGGTGTATCCCAATGCTTGTTGGGAAATATAGTATTCTACTAAGCGTACAAGGAGACCGGAAAGAGGAAGAGGAGCACGTGATCGCGATCACTCGCGGTCACGTGATTGGGAATAGGATAAATGAGGAGTGGCACGTGACCCTACGCGGTCACGTGGTGGAGAGGAGGCTTATGGGGAATGTAGTAGCAGGACGGAGATCGGCTACAGAAGGCTACAGAAGGCTCTCCTACCCCATTAAAGATTTCATTGGATGTAACACTAAAGGCGTTATATACCTTTTAGAATGCCCATGTGGATTACAATACGTGGGCATGACCAAAAGATGCCTTAAAGTGAGACTGGCAGAACACTGCCGTAACATTAAGAGAGGCCATGATAAACACTCAGTCTCCAAACATTTTATCAGCCACAATAAAGACCCGACTCTTTTAAAAGCAACAGGGATAGAACAAGTTACCCTTCCTTGGAGAGGTGGAGACATCACAAACATTTTAGGAAAAAGGGAAATGTACTGGGTTTTCCTATTGAAAACTCTTGCTCCAGAAGGACTTAACGCCGAATTCGACCTTTTTAACTTCTTATAAATAACTATTTTTATTATTT